TTCTGCTGGCTGGGTGCTGGCAGGCTTGCACCTGGCATGGGCACCGTAGCCAGCCCGTGCCCCTTTAAGGGGTCCGGGGCTGGGAGGGGGGCAGTAGAGTTTCCCTGGTGTTGGCCAGAGTGGCCACCAGGGAAACTTGGGGAGGGCTAGCCTCCCACTAGTTCGAATTAAGGGGCTACACACCCCTTAATTCGAACTAGCTAGTTCGAACTAGGCTTAATCCTCGTAAAATGAGGTTTTCCTAGTTCGAACTAAGCGCTCTGCTAGTTCGAATTAAGTTCAAACTAGCGGAGCGCTAGTGTAGCGCCTATGAAAGTTAGTTCAAACTAACATCCGTTAGTTCGAACTATCTCTGTAGCGTAGACATACCCTCTCTGAGGTTCGCCAGACAATGGACCATGTCTGATTTTTGTTACAAAGGTATAAATCCAGAATAACTACCCTGACTTTGATGAAGTTACCCCAGATATGTCCTGGTGTAACAATAGGCCTGGCCTCACATGTCCAGTACATTACTACACCTGAGTCTCAAAACAAAATTCCTGTGATAAGTAGCTTAAAGCAGTGGTTTTCAAACTCTTTTTCTCAGTTGAAGAAAATTGTTGATGCCACAGCCCCTAGTTTGAAAACCATTAGCTTAAAAGGAGCTGAAATCAGACTTTTTTCAGGCTTTTTTCTGATTGAGCCAGCAGACATGCTCATCTGAGATAGCCATAATTATTTATACATCTTACTCTCTCCTGATACATTTGGGGGTGTTCAGTAGCGAGCAAAACTATAAATGACTTAGAGTAACATTGCTAAAGTTATCAGACAAGCGAGCATCTTATGTGACTAAAAATGACGGTATTGCATAAAATTCTTGAATTCCTCCACCTCTTATCAGCAGTGTGTCTCTCCAGTTCTGCTGGATCTCATGTTAGCGCAGGGTAATAAGGACATTGTGTGCCTCTTTTTCCAGGAAATCCTTTTGTTTGCTATGAACACCCAGTGCCTTCATTTTTCCCAAAGGCATTCAAATGAATAGGTTTCCATGAGGCCCCAATTCAGCAAGATTCCTGAAGCAGTGGGTTGTAACCTTTTTATGTTTGCAGAACTCTTTGGAAAGTTAGAAGCAGGTCCTGCCTTTGGAAATCTATTGTCTGTATATATAGTTGAATTCTGTTCAGTTATTTTTCAGTCTAAGGGTGTATCTACACTGCAGGGCTTAACTTGAAATAAGCTACACAAATTGAGCTACATCAATTACGTATCTTATTTTGAAATAGCTTATTTAAAAACAGGGAGTATCTACACAGCACTTATTTTGAAACAGAGGACTCTTCGTATGATTTCCCTTATTCCTTGTACAATGAGGGTTACAGGAGTCAGAATAAGAAATCCTCCAGCTTGATAGTATTTTGACACTATTTTGAAATAACTGCCTGCTGTGTAGACATGGACTAAGTTATTTTGGATTAGCGCTAGTTATTTTGAAATAGTGTTGCATTATTGATGTACCCTAAGTCTTAGGCTGGAAATGGACTGATCAGAGATCAACTATAAATGTAGTACGTGCTTGGCTGAGCATTTGTCACACTGAGAAAGGTGCTAAAATGCTGACTTCCATAGTAATGACAGCATTACTGGATTTTGACCTGTAGGTGGGGGTATTCACATACTTCTGATTGGTCAGAAAAACAGAATATCTTTTCTGGGACCTGAAACTTTATTTTTGTGACCACCTTTCACAGAACCCTTAGACATAGTCTGCAGACCCGCTGAGGTCCATGGACCAGAGATTGAAAGCCACTGCTGTTGTTAGTTGTTCCAGTTTGTTGAGGGAAAAGGACATTATTATCTGTTAGCAAGTTATAATTGATGTAAAGCTGAATTGTTATCAGCCTACGTTCTGTAAATTCCCCTTACGATTCCCCCTTCCTGAATGAATGCATGGTGTGTGGGAAAGAGACATGGAGTGGGTGATGAACTTTTACTCACCTGAACTTGAGTGCACACAGCCCAGAGAGGACAGTGAGGAAGGCCTATAGACCCAGAAGCTGCACATGGCCTGTAACATCATTGATTCAACAAAGAGAGAGAGAACCTGAAAGAGGATCACCAAGCAGGACCTCCCGGGGATGCCCTCTGCTTGGATTGCCCAACCAGCGAACCGGTTCCAGATACCAACAGCATGAACCTCATCATGAACTCCTTCTGGTGCCTGGTGCTCAGCCTGCATTTCATAGGACTGTAAGTGTGATTGCAGATAGTGAGAGTGAGTTTTCCCCTTTCCCCTCCTTCCAGAGTTGATTAAAGCAATTAAAGCCATTTGTACTCATTACCTGGTGGTCCCAATCCTTGTTAGGCCAAGGTTAATTGCACACTTGCAACACAGTTCGGTTGTGAAGCTTCAGGGGGTAGCTGAGTTAGTCTGTTACAGAAAAAAAAAACAAATGGTCTGGTAGCACTTGATAGACTAACAAAACATGTAGATGGTATCATAAGCTTTTGTGGGCACAGCCCATCTCTGTTCATGCTTAGAGCTGCGTCTTCAATGGAGTAGAATTCAATGAATCTGGGTCTATGCTTTCACTGATTGCTAGCTATCAGTGGGTTTTGAATAAGCCCCAAACACCTAAAGATGATAAATCTCTGAAACTCATAACACAGAAACATGAGTTTTTGTCTGTGTAGCCACTAGACTTCACTGGACAACATGAAATTAGAAAGAAATAAAATGTGAAATACAGAGACCTGAAATAATCTTGAACAGAAGACTAAATCATGATGGTAAAGAGTGTAACGGGGAGCTGGCTGCAGTCAGTGTAGCTATGGAGAGAGCTGTAGCATCTGAAGGCCTCAGATTTTGCTTTCAGTGCTCAAGATTTTAAGAGATTCATTCAGATGGATTCTGGATTATAATAAGAAAAAGATAGGAGGAATCAAATCTGAGAGATGAGTGAGGAAACGTGGTCAGGTCTTGTTTCTCTGAAGCCTGCCCCAAACTAGTGCTGTCAGTCTCTTTTCTGGAGACTGCTATGCTTGTTCTTAACGTCAACACAAATTGTTTTTTATGACAAGAAAGTTTAAAGCCTCAGAACATGATTTGTTTTATGTGACATGGTGCAGCTAACCATCAAATGATACCTTTCCATCTATGTTTTAAATCCAACCCTTCTAACTGACATGCTGAATGACACACATGGATGCAACCTCTGTCAACTGACCTCAATACACTTCCCACAGTGTGTGAGGTTACAGAATTTCTGATAAGCACGTCTAAAAATTATGAGACAACATAATAAGACTACAAAATTGAATCTTCAATTACCCAAACATGGGGCTGCTAATAAAATTTGCCCACTAATTTATTTTTTATTTTTTCACAGGCTAAAAATAAGCTTGATTAATGAAGAATTTTTGGAATCTTCAGAAGGCTTTTACTATACAACCTTGTTTTCTAGCAGAAGGAAACCAGCTGTAGTAAGTCTTCAACACTGTGCATATAAAGAAAACAACAAATGAACATTTTTGTTTAATTATGCTATTTATTTTTTGACTTGTCATTTAACAGTGGAAAAGGCTACAGGTGAAAAGTCAGGAGAAAATGAAATATCTTATATGGCAAGTTTCTTGCTCTTTTGTTTGAACTTCTTAACTTTAACAGGTTTTGATTTGAAATGGTGTTTTGATGTCAAATGTGGCCTATTTTATTTTATTTTTTTAGATTTTGAAATATAACAGGCTCGTTATTCCAACGTCCCTGTAAACCTCATTAAAATAAGCTATTTTGAAATTAAATCTACATAAGCTACACAATTTGCATAGCTCAAATTGTGTAGCTTATTTCAAGCTTCAGGTGCAGTGTAGACGCACCATACAGCTGTCAGGTCCTAATTCAGAAAAAGGACATGTAAGCTAGAGGTACTGAGACCACTGACAAGGGAAAGTGAAGTCTTCTCTACAGTGTAAGGGTACGTCTAGACTACAAGCCTTTTTCAAAAAAGAGTGTCTAGACTACAAGCAGATATTTCGAAAAAGTGAAGCACTTTTTCAAAAGTGAGTCTAGATGCTCTCTTTCAAAAAAGCACAGTTTGCATTATATAGCACCTTTTTTCGAAAGAGTACTTTCGAAAAAAGACGTTATTCCTCGTAAAATGAGGTTTACCGTGATTGGAAAAAAACTACCGCATTCTATCGATTTACTTTCGAAAGAACATATCTGCAGTCTAGATGCAGGTGAAGTTTTTTTGAAAAAAGGCTACTTTTTTAAAAAAAACCTTGTAGTCTAGATACACCCTTTGGAATAGCACCCTTTGGAATAGATACACTTTGGAATAGCAAAATCTGCGGGGGATTTAAATATCCCCCAAGGGGATGCAGATTAGACACTTTGGAATAGCAAAATCCGCGGGGGATTTAAATATCCCCCAAGGTATTTGCATTTAACATGGCTGCTGCTTTTTTCCGGCTTGAGGATAAGCTGGAGAAAAGCTTCAGTCTAGACGTGATTCTCCGGAAAATAAGCCCTTTTCCGGAGGATCTCTTATTCATATTTTGAAGTAGGAATAAGAGATCCTCCGGAAAAGGGCTTATTTTCCGGAGAATCACGTCTAGACTGAAGCTTTTCTCCAGCTTATCCTCAAGCCGGAAAAAAGCAGCAGCCATGTTAAATGCAAATACCTTGGGGGATATTTAAATCCCCCGCGGATTTTGCTATTCCAAAGTGTCTAATCTGCATCCCTTTTCCGGAAAAGGGGTGCAGTGTAGACACAGCCTTAGGGAAGAGACAGCTGGTTTATAGCTCATGAGGTAAAGGTGTAACCTGCACAGCTTTGGGTTTGGTTCACTGTCTCATGGGTGTGGTTCACTGTCCCATGTAGAATAATGATAGAAATGTAGCCGTGTTAGTCTGGGGTAGTTGAAGCAAAATGCAGGACAATGTAGCACTTTAAAGACTAACAAGATGGTTTATTAGATGATGAGCTTTCGTGGGCCAGACCCACTTCCTCAGATCAAATAGTGGAAGAAAGTAGTCACAACCATATATACCAAAGGATACAATTAAAAAAATGAACAAATATGAAAAGGACAAATCACATGTCCCATGTAGTGGCACTTAGACTACTTACAGTGAGAGATAAGAACAAGGGAGCTCTATAAACTTAGCTGAGAGCCAGCTGGTTTTATATCTCAAGCTGTTTAGAGGCTCCCACACTAAGTTCCTGAGATCCCAGGTTTTGAGGCACATGGCTTTAGCCCCTTAGGTTGTAGGCTCAGTCCCTTCTGCCAATGATCCATGTCTATCAGCTTTGCAAATGTAATCATGTATTTAAGGCCCACTGAAACCCACGGGGCTTATAGGCATGCTTACTGTTAGCCATGTGCTTCAGTGTTTTGCTGAACTGTGGCAAAACAGTGTTTTGCTGAATTGATTTCAATGGGATTTCTGGATGGTTGTCAACACTGCTACAATGTGTTTAGATTTAAGAACTAAGTTTAGGAAACCAGGTTTTAAATTTTTGGCTGAGGACCTTAAACAAATTCCATTGATTACAAAGGATATTTGGTTGAACCAGAGGAATTGTACATTTGTGTCTAAATCAGTGGTTCCCAAATTTTTTGGCATCACACCCCCCTTTTTGATTTTTGAAAAACCCTCACGCCCCCCTACCAAAAAAAAAAAAAAATAGCAGCAAAACTTTTTGAGAAAAAAGAAAAGGAACCGAGCGGGGCTGCAATACTTGATGGGGGTGGGGGAAAGGAAGGAGGCGGTGGGGGAAAGGCAGGGGGCTGCGCGCCCCCCCCCCCTCAGAATTTTTTCATGCCCCCCAGTTTGGGAACCCATTGTCTCAATAGAAATGACTTAAAAACTGAAATGAAGATCTATGCTGAGTCCTTTTTTACTATTTTAATCATGCTACAAAAGAGATATCAATGGCTTTTTAGCCTTTTCACTGCAGTATCTGGAAGCTTATAAATACACCCAAAGTAGGAATGTCAACCCAAACCTCCAATTAGTTTGGTGGTAAAATTTCAAGAAGAACCTCCCAACAGTACCTGGGATCTGTCCCCAGCACCTTCTTGCTGTCTTCTTTAGCTCCTAGCACAATGCAGGTTGTAGTAGCTCTGTTACTCTAATCTTTTGTATGATGAAGTTTTCAACCCAGGGGTGAGGGTGGAGGTTTGGTTTGGATCTAGACTATCTGCAAGTGATACAGACTCTCTGGCCAATAAGGATCAGGGATCCTTCCAGCAAAAACTCTATCGACTTCAGCAATAGAGATGTCAGGGAAGTGGCTTTTTTATGTGCATGATTATATGTCATAACCACTATAAAGCGCTTAAGAAATATCCAGCCTGCCAGTCAGATAACTAGAGTGGTCAAATATTCCCTGCCCTATTATCTTGTAAATAAAAGGTATGTGTGGTTATTGAGTTAACTGCCACTAAATTGTTCTACTTCAAGTGTTGGACTTGTCCATGGTTTCCCCTCCCTTAAATCTTTTACTTTATTACCACTAAACTGTACCCCTGGAATAGGCTGTTAACTTTGGGGTCCATATCCTTACAATCAGCATGCAACATGCATCCAATACTAAGGCCAACATTTTCAAAAACGGACTGCAATGTGGTCTGGGCAATTCTGTGTCTGTAACTAAACACAAATTGAAAATCTCAGTTTCAGTTATCAATGCCAGGCAATGCACCCATTTAAAAACAATAACTCAAAACTGCATGTGAACTTGAAACAATTATTTCAAGTTGGGACATTTTACTAGTTTGAGCTGTTTCCTCTATTTTCAGTGCAGGGAATTTCTGGTAATTTTACTGTCTCCAAAATGGGGATTAGACTTTTAAAATTAATTTACACAGAATTGTCAAACCCCAATAACGCGTGAGCAGGATCTGAAGGAATGCTTCCATTACAGCTAGTTGGAATGGGAGAGAAACCCTGAGTGTGTCTATATAAACAGTTTGTTCCTGCTTTGCTTAGAGGTGCTAGATATTCAGCAGATGGAGTGGTATTTTGCTTATTGTAATCAACTTAATTTGTGACTCAACACCAGCTATGTTTATATTAAATGCAGAGGTAGCTAAAATATGGTTACCAATGTTCGTAATTTTGTGGGACTACAGAAAAGTAGGACCATGCTACATTGTTCCAAATGAAAGGGCTCAGTTGGCAGAAGAAATCTTGCAAATGCAGGGGCTCCTCTATAGAGGTAAGGGGTGAGGGAAGGTTATTCTGTTCTGGAGGCTATATGGCTTCTCATGCTTGGACTGGTTTAACTTGTTTCTCCCCACACTGCTCAAAGAACAGAACTAAATAGGCATCATTAGGTGCCTCTCTTCTTGTGCTAATTGTGTTGGAGTTGAGTTTTTGTATCCTGCTTTCTAAGAGTTGAAGTCTCTGGGAGTTGAAATCATTTGACACTGATGGGCAGAAGTCACAGCTAAGACATGGATGGCGACTGAGAGCCAACAGGGCAGTGACAGAGATATGCAATGAGTGGCCAGCAAAGTGGAGGCAGCACAATGAGCAATCAGCAGGGTGGTGACAGAAAGGCATAATGAGCAGCCAGCAGGGTGGTGGAGGTGGATAAGGTGAGGCAAATCTTTCTTGAAAAGTGGTGCCTAGAACTGGACACAATACTCCAACTGAAGCCTAACTAGCGCAGAGTAGAGTGGAAGAATGACTTTTCATGTCTTGCTAACAACACACCTGTTAATGCATCCCAGAATCATATAGAGGCAGGGAAAAGACCCAGATACCAGGGAAAAGACCCAGACCCAGGGAAAAGACCCATAAACAAATAGAGGCAGGAAAAAGACCCAGATGAAAATGTGGACCTAAATCTACACAGCTCAGGTTTTCCAGCTACACTTTTTATCAAAGATTTAACAGAAGGTAGTCCAGAAAAGTAGTGGCCAAACTTCGTTATTATCTAATGTGGCAAATCTTATTCCATGGGAGCTTGGAAGTTGAATAAATAAATCTGCTACCTTTTGTTGTCTTTTCTTTTTCAAGGCCAGAACACATGTGACCTTGAAATACAGAAATATTTGGATTTTAAAATCTGATTTACAGGATTCAAAACCTCCACTCAGCACCCAACTAAATCAGCCAGGCCAGATTCTAGAAACTTCTGGGGAGCCAGGAGAGTGAAAGTAAATTTTATTTCTCTAGGCTGCAGACTGGAAGTAAGTTCTGCAGCTCTAGCAAGCTCTTACCCTTCCAGCATCCACTCAATATGACCCTAGTGCATACAGCCAAAAAGGAGACCTTCAGCTAAGCTTTTAATTCTTCAGAGACATAAGAAGTTATGATCGGCCAGACTGGGTCAGACCAAAGGTCCATCTAGCCCAGTATCCTGTCTTCCAATGGTGGCCAATGACAGATGCCCAGAGGGAGTGAACAGAACAGGTAATCATCAAGTGATCCCTCTCCTGTCATCCATTTCCAGACCTGGACAAACAGAAGCTAGGGACACCATTCCTACTCATCTTGGCTAATAGCCACTGATGGACCTAACCTCCATGAATTTTTTGAACCCTGTTAAAGTCCTAATCTTCACAACATCCTCTGTCAAGGAGGTCCACAGGTTGATTGTGTGCTGCCTGAAGAAAATCTTCCTTTTGGTTGTTTAAATCCTGCTACCTATTGATTTCACTTGGTGACCCCTAGTTCTTATGAT